CAAGTTGCACAAGTCGGGGAAGATGGGACCACTACCTCCTCCTCTGCAGCCCCCAAATCTCTCCCCCTGCAGCTACTGAATCCTGGGAAAGAGCTGCTGACTTGTGGAAAAAGACCCATTCAATGGCTCATGGTCTGGTTCAACTTCCAGGCTCTGAAGTCCAACTGAGTGGCTGGAGTTCAACTTTATCCAGACACTGAAAGTGGAAACGTCGAGACCGGCAAACCCTACATTTCACCCAGAAAGAGCCAGTAGCCTTTCGTGTTGCTATTCAACCTCTGCCGTGGCCTCACCTGTATGGAGGTACAGGTGGTGATGACGCTCATGTCGTAGACTGTGTTGCTGTCGCTGACGTTGTCTGGTGGAGGAGGGCTCTTCTCCGTCTTAGGCGGAAAAGTGATGGCAAGTAGTGGGGGGGACTTGGGGGAGAAATTGATGTCGGTGCCATTGCCAAAGGCCTGGATAGCATTTCCTGGTCAGAAAGAAAAATAGGAGAGAAAAGACAACCTCAACAAAGGGCAAAGGGAATTCTTGGTGCAAGGCTTCATCCACTGGAGTCAGTGTCCGCTTCCATGGAAAGGATCGTGCTGCTTTCTCGTCAGTCTATCTAAACACCCCACAATTCAGAGTCTCAGGTGGACAAAAGCAGACAAAAGCAGTAAGCCTTCTTTATAAGTCAGGACTTTCCTGCCAACTTGGAAAGGGAATCTCAAGCAGCAGGACTCACTCCATGTTTTAATTCCAAAGGAGCCATCCAAGGTGCTGAACTCTGGGCTCCTCCAGGCACCTTGGAGAGCACCTTTAAGACAATTACTTGTAAAACAATGTTTCTCAACCTGGGGATTGGGACCACGAGGGGGTTTCAGAGGGGTCGCCTAGGACCATCAGAAAACATATATTTCTGATGGTCTTGAGAACCCCTTTGGCAAAGAAAGATGAATATCTCTGCCTGTCTTCTCTTCTGTTTTGGAAAAAGACAGCAAACCCTCCCACTAAAAGCCCTCCTCCACCATGATTGGCCAGCCTCTCAGCCAAGGGGAGGGCTTTTTCTGATACTCCAAGTGGGAAGGGGACAGCAAGCATGTTTGGCACATGGCAGCATGATGTGCATGTGCAGGTGAGGGAGAATATGTGAGGCTGGATGGAGGCTCGTGCCAGCGAGTCCCTTCAAGCCATTGAGGTCCTGTGTGGGAAGTTTGGCTTAATTCTATTGGTGGGATTCAAAGTGCTCTTTGATTGTAGGTGAACTATAAATCTCAACAATTACAATTCTCAAATGTCAAGGTCGATTTTCCCCAAACTCTACCAGTGTTTACTTGGGCATATTGAGTATTCGTGCCAAGTTTGGTCCAGATCCATCATTGTTTGAGTCCACAGTGCTCTCTGGATGTAGGTGAACTACAACTCCCAAACTCAAGGTCAATGCCCACCAAACCCTTCCAGTATTTTCTGTTGGGTCATGGGAGTTCTGTGTGCCAAGTTTGGTTCAATTCCATCGTTGATGGAGTTCAGAATGCTCTTTGATTGTAGGTGAACTATAAATCCCAGCAACTACAACTCCCAAATGACAAAATCAATCCCCCACCTAACGCCCCACCATTATTCAAATTTGGGCGTATTGGGTATCTGTGCCAAATTTCATACAGTGAATGGGAATACATCTTGCATATCAGATATTTACATTACGATTCGTAACAGAAGCAAAGTGACAGTTATGAAGTAGCAGCGAAAATAATGTTATGGCTGGGAGTCACCACAACTGTATTAAGGGGTGGCGGCATTGGGCAAGTTGAGAAACACTGTTGTAAAAGGAGAAGCTGCAAGGCCAGACCGTCTGTGTACTTTGCACTCTTCAGAAAGAATAAAGAGGAGGAGGAAGAGGGTGTTTCCCCCACCCGACTTCCACCCTAGAGTCTTGCTTGAGAGAAGCCACAAGTTCCTTCCACCCATCTCCCACCCATTATTTTGTCCCCAGTGACGACCAGCGGTGCCTTACTTAGACAGGGGTTTTCTGTGAAATCCCTCAGGAACTTCTCGCATTCTTCCTCCATGTTGCCACTGCCCCGGCAGGAACACGACGGAGAGACCGTGAGGCTGGTGATGCTGGCCTCCACGTAGTTGGGTGTCACTTCAAGTCCTGTGTCCAAGGAGGAGGAAAGCAGCCATTGAATCTTTCTCGGCAAGGAGTGGTCTGTGGAAGCAGCCTTTGCACCTATTCCCCACCCGGAAGGAGAAGCACCCCTTCTGCGCCCTTCCCAACAAGCCTTCTTTGGGAAGACCCCATTGTGTGGGGATGGAAGTGGCATTCAGGTGGTCAGGTATCTCTGAAACAGGCCTCTATGGAATGTTGGTTTCCTAGAATGATGGGGGGTTGGACTAAATCAGCGTTTCTCAACTTGGGATTGGAACCCCTGGGGTATCATGAGACGGTTTCAGAGGGGTCACCAAAGACAATCATAAAACATATATTTCTGGTGGTCTTAGGAACCCCTTTGGCAGAGGAGGCTGAAGATCTCTCCGCCTGTCCTTATCTTCCTTTTTGAGCCCTCCTCCGCTGTGATTGGCCATCCTCTCAGCCAAGGGGGGGGGGGAATGTTTCTGAGACTCCAAGTGGGGAAGGGACAGCAGGCATGCTTGGTGCATGGCAGCATGCTGGGCATGTGTGGGCGAGGAAGAGTATGCGAGGCTGGAGGGAGGTTTGTGCCCACAAGTCCTTTCAAGGGACATCCATTTGATTTTCCTGCTTCTTGGCAGGGGTTGGACTGGATGACCCATGAGGTTTCTTCGAACTCTATGATTCTAAGGCATGGGGGTTCTGTGTTGGAAGTTTGGCCCAATTATATCGTTGGTGGGGTGCAGAATGCTCTTTGATTGTAGGTGAACTATAAATCCCAGCAACTACAACTCCCAAATGTCAATGTCTGTTTTCCCCAAACTCCACCAGTGTTCACATTTGGGCATACTGAGTAGTTGTGCCAAGTCTGGTCCAGATCCATCATTGTTTGAATCCACAGTGCTCTCTGGATGTAGGTGAACTACAATTCCAAAACTCAAGGTCAGTGCCCACCAAACCATTCAGTATTTTCTGTTGGTCCTGGGAGTTCTGTGTGCCAAGTTTGGTTCAATTCCACCATTGGTGGAGTTCAGAATGCACTTTGATTGTAGGTGAACTATAAATCTCAGCAACTACAACTCCCAAATGACAGAATCAACCCACCCACCCCCCAACACCACCAGTATTCAAATTTGGGAGCATTGGGTATTTGTGCCAAATTTGATGCAGTGAATGTAAATACATCCTGCATATCAGATATTTACATTACGATTCATAACAGGAACAACATTACAGTTATGAAGTAGCAACACAAATAATCTTATGGTTAGGGGTCACCAAAATATGAGGAACTGTATTAAGGGGTCGCGGCATTAGGAAGGTTGGGAAACACTGGACTAGATGCCTCTTGTGGTCCCTTTCTATCAATCTGTAGCTGAATTCCTTTTGGAAGGAAGCGCAGATTTAATCTCTGGTTCTTGCCTGTCTCCCTGTTTGGAGCTGACTCAGGAGGACTTTGGTCAAAACCCTCTAATGTTGAGTTTTGCCTCCAGAAATGAGGATGAACTCCAATGCTGTGCCTTGGCAATCAACATGGGCTGCCTACAAATCCCTTTACTCTGGTTGGCGATTGTCATTAGATTGTGTGGTTGTGAATCGCCTTGAGTCCCTTTTTGGGGAGAAAGGCAGGGTATAAATAAATATGACAATAACAATAACAATAATGATGATGCTCCTCTTTCTCCCTTGAGGTCAGCCCTGGGAGAAAAGCTCCTACCAAACAAAGCAACTTCCTCCCAGGAGCTCTCTGAAGGCTTTTCTGGCTGGTACAAGCAATGGCAACTTGGTCAAACAAGCCATTCGTGAGTATTTTGTCCTCCAAAGACAGAGGCTTCGGTGCAGTCAATGCACAGAGAGGCTCAATAGGCTTCCACATAGCAGCTGATTCTGCTGAGTAAATATATGGGGGCAAATTCAGGGCAGGAAACCGGGGCTGACAGCTCCACTCTGGACAACTTGAGATCCAAATACGGATTGGAATAATTGTCTCCGCAGCTCTTTGCTGTCCTTGTGAAGAGTAATGGAGTGTGTGCAGTTGTGTGTCATGAGAGATGGAAAACCCAACAGACTCTGCAGAGAGGTTCAGGGCCAGAGAGAGAAAGGCTGCTGCTCTGCACAGTCCTACCATACGGACAGGTCTGAATGAGCGCCATCTCATTCCAAATCAGATGCATGCATGTTGCACACTGATCTCCACCCCACCTCACGTGAATCCTCTCCTAAAAGCCATGCTCACCTATGAGCCCTGTGTAGGAGCTGAGGCAGGCCTGGTAGTTGTCCCGAGGGCAGCTGGTCAGCAGATGGAAGGAGGCCTGGCAGTTTGTGTGGAAGTCAGCCA